AATCATGTCTCAAGAAACCCGAAAAACCAAAAAAAAAAAAAAAAAAAAAAGTAAGAAAGTACAAAAAAATTAAGGACAGCATTGTTTTGGGAATTAAATAAATCATGTAAAGTAAATGGAAACAGTTCTAACATATAGTAAGTGTTAAATAAATGGCAGCTCTTTTTATTATTATATAATAGGCTGGTTATACTCACTCTTTTGTTGAGACAAATAACAGGCCACAGGCAGCACCCCCACAGCAGAGACCTCCACACAGCAGCCATTTCACATTGACTGGGAGAGCCTTTTTCAGACATGAGTTCACACGGCCAATGCTGGTCTTAAATTCTTCTGGAGCCACCTAAAACACAGGGACTAACTTAATGAGTTTGTGGACAGCTTCCCACTAGCCCCAGTCCTAAGGAAAATATCTTATCAGAAATACTTCAATGTCTCAATATAATCTCTCCATAAATCTGTATTACATACTCTTGGAAGACATCAGCGAGTGAAACAATATAATTTCATCCTTGAAGAACTTCATGTAATATCCACAATACTCTGAAATGACCAACAATCAACAGAAACCAACACGGCTGAAAGTAAGGGAAAACCATCAGGCATTTTTGTTATCAAGCATTCTTGTTACGGCAATGGTGCTCACAGTCTTCAGGCACCCCGACTGAGACCTGAGATATGGTTAGAAGCATAAGACAAGAACAAAAACCAAACCACTAACTTGAGGAGGTGGAATTAAAATTAGGTATTGATAATAATCTTGAATTACTTTGAAATAAACCCTTAACACCTTTTCTTTCTGGCAGATCTGCAATATAATAGTTAAACTTGCTGCTGATAGCAGGGAAATACATTAACAAGCGATAATATCTGGCAATTATGTTTAAAGCAGTCTGTTAGTATTCAGCATACATCAGATTCATAACCACTCTGAGTTTTAAAGGTTGAAAAGTCTTTATACAAATTTAACATTTCTGGTTATTAACTCCGTCCCTGCAAGTAGTTGTTTGTGCTTCTCCTTAAACAGTGATAGAATCAATTCAAAGGCAGGAGCATGACCCATGTAGTTAAGATTTATATCAAAAATCCCCTTGCAAGTTACAAGATTCAAAGGTACACTAAAAATAGTCTGTTTTTGGTGAAATCGTGTTTTGGATCACCAAGATGATACAGCATTACTCAGAAAGTTGGCAGACAGTAAATTCAAGGGATAAGGTTTGGCATCTGGTTGTGAAAGTAAAACTTATGATGTTGGTAGAAAAATAAGTAGCTGTAAAATGAAAGCCCCACTACAAAGTGTGACATCACAAACCAAAAAGCTTCACTCTTCCCCATAAAAGGCTGTACTAGAGGAATGGCTTTGTCGAATTTTTAAAATTTTTTAGCAGGCATGGCTTAGAATCCACACACACACATGTATTAATGGATGCTATAAAGATCCAATTCAGCACTATCATAATTAAAACATTAAGTAGACAAGCTCTATTAGAACTGTTTGTGTCACCCACAAAGTCAATTACACAGTCTGTGAAGCAGCTATTTTTTTTTTTTTTTTTTTTGCTAACAATGAACAGTTTTGAAACTGTTGGGCTTAAAACTGTTTACATGGGAAAATGGACTTCATTCTCCATCTACACTGTTAAAAACATAACACAGTGACAGCTACTGTGCACCAAGAATTCCAATGAGCTGACATTTCTGCGGGTAAATATGAAAACAAATTAACAGAATTATGCTTTATTATTGAAATCAGAAAACATTCTCGCTGTGTCTGAGAAAATAGCACGTAAAATAATTCAGTTTTTCTGAATCCCAGTATGAGGTAAAATGATAGTCTTTATTTTAGCTTTTTGTTTTGTTTTGTTTTTCGAGACAGGGTTTCTCTGTGTAGCTTTGGAGCCTATCCTGGCACTCACTCTGGAGACCAGGCTGGCCTCGAACTCACAGAGATCCGCCTGCCTCTGCCTCCTGAGTGCTGGGATTAAAGGTGTGCGCCACCAATGCCCGGCTATTTTAACTTTTAAATTTATTTATTTATGTATTTTATGAGTGCTCTGCATATATGCCTGTATGCTAGAAGAGGGCATCAGATCCCATTATGGATGGTTGTGAGCTGCAATGTGGTTGCTGGGGATTGAACTCAGAACCTCTGGAAGAGCAGCCAGTGTTCTTAATCGCTGAGCCATTTCTTCAGCCCTGATAGTGTTTGTTTTATATTGTCACAAGGAAACTTCAACACTTGTCAGCTTTTGATTTTTTTTTCAGAGATATTCTTCCCCTCTACTTCTTTCCTCTCCCTTCTTGTCAGAACCAGGGATGGAACTTTAGTGCTAGCCCGCACTAAGCAGATGTTCTACCATGCTGTGAAACAATTCCCTTGTATACTGTAAAGATTTGACACTTGAATTGGTTTAATAAAACGCCAATTGGCCAGTAGCCAGGCAGGAAATATATGCGGGGTGACCAAACTAAGGATGCTGGGATGAAGAAGGGGAAGTCAACATCGTCTCAGGGAGACACAAAGAAGCAAGATGGGCATGCTTTACCGAAAAAAAAAAAAGGTACTAAGCTACATGGTGAAGCATAGATAAGGAATATGGGTTCATTAATTTGTTTTTAAAAATTGATTTATTTTAGGTACATTGATGCTTTGCCTGCATGTATGTCTGTGTGAGAGTATCAGATCTTGGAGTTACAGACAGTTGTGAGCTGCCAGGTGGGTGCTGGGAATTGAACCCAGGTCCTCTGGAAGAGCAGTCAGTGCTCTTAACTGCTGAGCCATCTCTCCAGCCCCTAAATATGGGTTAATTTAAATGTAAGAGCTAGTAACAAGCCTGAGATATTGGCCCAGCATTTACAATCACTGTTAAGTTTCTGATTGATTATTTGGGAACAGCCTCAGCACAGGAAAACTCCACCTACACTACCGCTTGCTCCTCCTGTAATCCTTTGATGTTCTTTAAAAAAAAACAAGGTGCCTAGTTACTATCTTCTTTCCTTCTGTGAGGAAAATGTTGAGAATAAATGAGGTAATAGCTATAAAGCTACTTGGTACAATACCTAGCATACATTAGGCACTCTGCAAATGGAGCTGTTGTCCATGTTTCATGGTGAGACAACAGGCAAAAGAAGTCTTCATTTGCCAGGCATTGGTGGCACATGCCTTTAGTCCCAGCACTCGGGAGGCAGAGGCAGGTGGATCCCTGTGAGTTCTAGACCAGCCTGGTCTACAAGAGCTAGTTCCAGGACAGTCTCCAAAGCCACAGAGAAACCTGTCTCAAAAAACAAAACAAAACAAAACAACAAAAAAGAAGTCTTCATTTGTGTTCTTTAAGCACTTAAATACTATGTGTACCTCTCCTGAAAAATACAACCCTTTATCTCACAGTCTAGGAGTGATTAGAGAACAGCTTTTCCCTACTATCTTATCTTTTATTCTTTCACCCTCTTTCAAAAAAATGAAACAAAACAAAACAAAAACACCCACCGGTTATAACTATAGTAATTCTGTGCTGCACGATTTTTTTTTTTTAAAAAATAACAAAATTACTTTCCTATTATGACAATAAGTTTCAAAAAAACCAAAATCTTTTCTGCCTCAGGGTGATGACAATTTCACTTCAGAATGTTTTTTCAGTGAAGGCTCACTCAGACTGTCACCTTAAGTTCGTTCCCATACAGGCCAGAGACCTTGTCCTCGCTAAATCACTTCCACATGCTGGCAGCGTGGAAGCAAATCCCAGTTGTCAGGATAAGTGCACCTCTGGTGCCCTTGCCATTTTCTTTTTCATTCTTTTTTATATATTTGTTTATTTTTTTAAATTTTATGTACATTGGTGTTTTTTCCATGGGTATCGGGTCCCCTGAAACTGGAGTTATAGACAGTTGTGAGCTGCCATGTGGGTGCTGGCAATTAAACCTGGGTCCTCTTGAGGAGCAGTCAGCGCTCTTTAACCCCTGAGCCATCTCTCCAGTCCCTCACCATTTTTAAAACTAACTTCTAGAACTTACTGTAAAGAACCATTTTGCAATATGAGATATTCTAGTGTTGTCATCTTTTTTAAGCTTTGTTTATTTTGAGAGTACTGGTTACATACAATTATTTACTTATCTATCTGTGTATGTGACTACATAGGACAATGGGCAGGAGTCAGTTACAGGCAACTGGTGGCACTCAGGCTGTCTGGCTTGGTGACAAGCACCTTTTACCCACAGAGCCATCTTGCCAGCCTTGAAAGTACTTAAAAAAAAGAGTTTGTAATTATGACTTAAACTTTTATTTGAAAACAAGTATGCAACTACAGATGAGAAAATTAAATATAAAGAGTTAAACCAGAGATAGAAATTAATCTGTCTAGCTGGTGGTGGTGGTGCACGCCTTTAGTCCCAGCACTCGGGAGGCAGATGCTAGCGGATCTCTGTGAGTTCGAGACTAGCCTGGTCTACAGAGCGAGTTCCAGGACAGCCAGGGCTGCACAGAGAAACCCTGTCCAGAAAAAACAAAACAAACAAAAAAGAAATGAATCTGTCCAAAGGAACAAAACAGTGTACAAGGAATCTTAGAAAAGAAGTTTCTTTCTAGCAGGGAAGAGCAGTGTTGGAAAAGGCTGAGGGAAGGGAAGGCCGACTTTGACTGTGAACATGGGGATGAAATGAATCACACACCGCAGAACCCACAGTTTGCTGCTTGTTTCTGAAAATGGAAACAACCAAATAACACTCCTCAAATTTGGCAATTTCCCGTCTCCAAAACCTTCTACTTTTAACGATATTCTCTCTTACTCCAGACACATTAAAAACTCAAATGTTCAAGGTACTAAAAGTGAAAAATCAAATTTTGGGTCATAATATAAATCTATTGAAAAGAAAAGCATGCACTAGAATCCCACACAACAAACTACAGTCTGCATTTTGACTTTAAA